AACCGCCTCCCGAAGCCCCTCCGCCCCTGCCGACGCTCAGAAACACTCCAGCAATCCGGTGCCCAGCCCCCTCCCCCACACCCGCGCCCCCACCAAGCCCGGCCAAGAACTCCACGACAGGGCTAACACTAACACTGCATGCGCACACAACGCCGTCCTTCCGGCCAGCTCCCGCACCCGGCGAGTGGTGCGGCAGACATGTGAATTGATAGCGAGGTTGCAGAAACACTACCAGCAGGGAACAGCCGAAACACCCTCAGCCCCGAACCGCCTCCCGAAGCCCCTCCCCTGCCCGCGATCGGACGTGTGCCCCCACCATAGACGTCCGCCGCACGCCGACGAGGTGCGCCCGGCGAGCGTCCAAACAGCCGTGCCCCAACCGTGGATTCAGCTACTGTGAATGCTGCTGCTTGCGCTCCAATCACCGGCATTTGCTCTCAGACAGCACAGTCCTTGCGGATCAGCTCCCTCACCCAGACGACGGTGGATGCCGAAGTACTGCCTGCAGAGCCGGAACACTCGTTAGGAAGGTTAGGTTGGTATCTCGTAAGAACAGACAAGAACAGGCAGTTAGGAAGGCCAATCAACTTCTACAGGCGGGAAGCAGAATAAAGCGCTTCGCGATGCTTCGCGTGTGTTGCACACCTGGAAAAAAAAAGAACGTTGCTTTACAAGAGCTCTGCAACCATGCCTTGTGCCAGTCGTAGTGCCTCGGTTGCCCTTGCCAATGCTGCAGGCAGTGCGGCCTCTGGTGAAAAGTAGAGAATGTGCAGCTTCTTGTTCTCGAGCAAGCCCAAGACATTGGTGAGCTGACAATCTCCAGCCAATTTCTGTGTGTCGATGCTGAGTGCTGCTCGGTTGAACACGATCGCAAAGCCTGTGGTCTGCGGTTGAAGATGAATTGGCTCCCAACCATACTCGTTGTCTCTCACCAAGTATCCTCTGCGTTTAACGAGAGCACATTGGATCTCGATCTGGTAGAGTTTCATTGCAACGAAGCGGCTGTCCGAACAAATTTCCACCAGCACTATCTCCACATCTGCGTCAGCAGCGACCACGACTTTGCCTAGTGCATTGTAGTTGTCAGCAAACGCCTCGAAAGAACCTGTGTACACAGAATCAATTTCGGCAAGCTCCTCCCCGACACCTCTTGTGTTCATTCCATTCGCAAAAGGGCCGTAGACAGTTTTTCGCAGGAACTCTGCAACCTTCGCCCTGCATGTCTCTAAACGCTCTCGTTCCTCCGACTTTTGAGCGGTGACTGCACGAAGTTTTCGAGGACCACTTGTGCAAAAAATCTGAGATACCATACCTTCGTACTTCTCACCGCTGACCTGACTGATGCTTGATAAAGACTTGAAACGTCCGGTCTTTTCATCAACCATACAATATGTTGGGTTAGGTTCTCGTTTCTGTTCCGGCTGTGCGGTGGGTTGGCTTCCAATATGGCAAGGCTGTGCTGCTCGATGCGAAGTCTGCGCAATCTCCCAAGGACTTGCTGCTGGATGCGAAGTGTGCGCAGGAAGTGCTGCCAGAGGCCAAGGCTGCACATATTGCGTAGGAAGAGCCCCGTAGGGCATACCAGAATGTTGCATCCCAGGGCTCCCGTAGGGCGGACCAGCGTACCACATCCGAGGTTGTGATGGATGTGCGGCCCATTGCCCAGGCCGCTCCATGGCGGGGCTTTACAAGAAAAATGAACCTGTGTGGACTCCATGCTGCTGGGCTTCAATATGCATCGAGTGTCTGGATAAACCTGCTTTCGATGCGTGCACATGCGGATGACAAGGATTGGGTTGCTTGACATTAGCTCCTCTGTTGCCAGGTTGGAGGCAATGGCTTACTGCACCATCTGCTTCATGACAACTTGACGATGTCGTGCTGCGCCGTGCGCCAATCGATGGCAAATCCAAAAGTGGAATTGCTCAAATTGGGGGCTTCTACTGCTTAAAGGCTTAAAGGAAGCTTGGAAAGAACGATGTTGAGCTAACAAAGACAGCCATAGGGCAATCCTCGCTCTTAAGGAACACAGTTGTGCCACCCGTGAAGCTGTGCTCGGCATCCAATAAACAGCGCGAATACTTACTCAACGAAGCCTTGCACCTGGGGCAATCCCGCCCGCCTGTTCCGCACACACTCTCCTTTGCCAGTGGTAGACCATCATCCGCGTGCAGGGCAGGGAGAGCGAGTACGGCGGCCACAACGCGACGCCACATGGGTGCTCACAAGCACTGAGGCTGCGCTATCGCGGAACTTCACTTGTCCAGTTTGTGGTGTTTTGTGGGCCAACGAGGCCGGCACCGAAACAAATCCCATGTGTGACGATTTTCCAACATGCACTCTGCAAGAAACCAAAAAGGAGAGCGGCAGATAAGACTCTGATGGATTCGCACCTGCACCTCAAACTGAAGGACATAGAACTACACTGCATGGCACCGGGGCAACGCGAAGAAAACGACAAACGCCAGTGTGGAAAAAGCATGAAAAAGCAAAAGCTTGCCCCGACCGAAACTGGGCACTCACTGGGATTCAAGAACACTGCCCGAGCCTTCCAAAACTGCTCAAGAACAAGTCCACCCAAACTGCTTTTTGGGAAAGGGAGAGTTGCGGGTGAAGCCACTACTCAAAAATGGGCTAAGCGTGCCAAATGACCACGTAGACTTCGAACCCCATGAAACAAAAAAA